CTATATTTAATGCTGTATATTGAGCAGTGGACGATGTTAAATCCATATATGAGATACATATCTGAGTAAAAATGCATTGCTAGTCGGCACCACCTAGCGTGCAGGCGTGAATTAGCAGAAGGCAATCAATCGTTTCGTGCTCGGTGTGAAAGCAACGTTCGTCGGCGATTCGCCTCGCTTTTTCGCATCGCGCTCAGTGTGAAACGGCCTTTACGTTGCTGAAAGCTGTTGTTTGTAGAATTCACTAAACAGTAAGAACTAATCACACTCATTTGAATATTTAAACTTAACCAGAGTGCTTGAGTCTTTTTACATCAAATTAAGCTTTAAGTTCCATTGCTTTATATATCCAATTTCAACTGTGTTGCAGGGAAAGATGCTCGACTGTATGTGTACAGACTGAGCACGCTCAAACGAGGGATCGAGGAGCGGCAGCTTGTCCGCACCAAGTGTGACAGTCGAGAGAACAAGCTTGAGAAAACCAAAGGTACGAAAGAAAGTCTTCAGTCATCACCCACCCAAATATTTGAAATTATGACAGTTATTTAAACTCTAAAAACTCAAAAAATTGGAACTTTTCAATGTACAAGCTTTTTTCTAATTCAAAGTAGTTAAGTCAAGTAAAGCCATGCTGTCTATTTGACAAATTTGAAGTTTCTTGAAGTTTTTAATAATTAGCTAATAAAACAGAAATGTGTTTCCTCAGGCTGCCATCTCTACGCCATAAACACGCATCATGGGGTGGAGCTCAGAATCGTTGTGGCGATAAGAAACAAGCTCCTTCTGATCACCAGGAAACAGTCACGCCTCGATTGCCTCAGCTCTGCTACAGTCACAGGGACAACTGACTCATCTGTGGAAGATTTCCAATACATACGGGTAGGACACGGATTCAGCATGGATTCTCAAACGTCATGCATTGAAGTTTGCTGTTTATAAGTTAATTGCGTTTTACTGTCACTTGCAGCTTATAGGAAAGGTTTCTGACAGACATTTAGCTACTTTTCAAAAGCTCTCAACATTTCGGATGCTTGCTGTCCCCTGTCTTAGGAGATCTGCTTATGTGACTCCCCGGTGGTCATGGCCCTGGTTGATGGCCCAACAGGAGAGAATGATCACATGATCTGTGTGGCCTACAGACATCAGTTTGACTTGATCAATGAGAGTACAGGAGACGCCTACAGACTACACCATGTAGACTCCAACCGGGTGAGAAACAGCCACTTGAATAAAAACATACACTACCATTT